TAAGCAGGGGCTAGCCGCTTGTATGCAGTACTCAAGTTTAGGACGAACGAACACTGTATACAAAGTCAAAAACGTTTTGGCGTCGACATGACTAAAAGCCCTACGTATTGACCATAACGTTCTAAAACTTTTGGCGGCTATTGCACGGCAGTGTGCAGTAGTCTTTAAGTCTTGACTAACGATAACTCCTAAGTCATTATATGTCTGGACGACAGGTAGCTCAGTGTTATTCATCGTGTATGTATCTGTGCCTTGATGACCGATATGCATCACAACACACTTGGAAGTATTTATCGGCAACTGCCATGTTTGAGACCATTCAGATAACTTCTTCAGGTCATTTTGAAGTTCTAAGCTATCACTCTTACATCGTATCGTTTTCCATATCTTGACATCGTCAGCATATAGCAAGACCGATGATGATAGGAGACAAGGAAGGTCATTTACATACAAGAGGAATAGCACTGGCCCCAAAACTGTACCCTGGGGCACTCCACTAAGCACAGTTTCCCAGCTAGATAACTTTGAGTTCACCCTTACTCTTTGTTGACGCCCAACTAAGAAGTCTTTTATCCACATCAATAAATTGCCTCCAATCCCGACTTTTCTTAACTTATATAACAGCCGGTTGTGCGGAACTTTATCAAAAGCTTTACTGAAATCAATGAAGGCGACGTCTACAGGTAGCTTTTGGTCCTTAAGAGCGCACCAGCTTTCACGAGCCACTAATAAGTTAGTGAGACAAGAATAACCTATTCTGAAGCCGTGCTGCTTCTCCGAGAGGATCCGGTTTTTATCGAGATACTTAAACAGCTCCTTCCGAATAATCTTTTCTAAGATTTTAACAACCACACTAGTTAGGCTAACGGGGCGGTAGTTCTCAGGTTTGTGTTTCGTACCTGTTTTGAAGACAGGACTTACTATGGCGTTTTTCCAATCTTTCGGTAAGCGACCCTGCGTAACGGATAGGTTAAAGCATGTACTTAAAGGGTTGCAACGAAGTTAGATAATTCCTTCAGTAGCCTAGGATGTAATTCATCGGGCCCCGTGGATTTACCTATGTCAAGCTTATTTAGCAGACCAAAGACATCGAGTTCTTTAATGGTCACGCTATCCAGTGTATGTATGGGGGGATCTGTATACGCTGACGAGAAGGGCGCTTCTATGGTATACACGTTGCTAAAGTAGTTCGAGAACGCTTGAGCCTTACCAAAGTCGTCCTCCACTAATGATGAAGCAGTACTGTCTCCCCATAGAGCAGGAATATTTCCTTTTCTCCTTGTCCTTTGGTTTATATAGGAATACAAGCGTTTAGGACATTCTATGGATTCCTTAACAAGTTTTTCTTCGTACAATTTTCTAGACTTACGGAGGGTCGAGGCACAAGTGTTCCGAGCCTTTCGATACTGAGATTTTGACTCATCAGTCCCCAGTAACCTAAATCTATCCTTTTCTTACGGAGAAGGATACGGACCTCCCTACTGAACCATGGTGGTGAGTTTTTCGGCCCCTTTGGTATAGTCCAAGGGATGTGAGGTGTGGTAACTTTTAAGTATGAATTTCGAAATGCGTCCCAGGCCGTTTCAATGGAGGACTCTGGGTCTATTGTCCAATCTATTAACGATGCTGAGTGCATGATGTCTGGTATGTTTGCTTTCCAGACGTTGGGTCTGGACTGGACTGACGCGTGCTCGTGACTGGCAGTTATATGGAATTCGAAAGTTAAAAATGCGTGGTCACTTTTACCTAGGGGTGGCATAACAAAGTACACATTATTCAAGCAAGTGAAATTAATCACATGATAGACCTTTGCCAAACTGTGCTCACCTCTGTAACCTGCTTTTCAATTCTTTGCTAGATCAATTTCCATATTCCTACGAGAACGGGAACCAATATTAAACAAACGCGAGCTTGACCGACCATGAGAGTGTAGGTCATAAGGTCGACCAAATAAAGTATTAGAAATGTCCACTAACTGAAAACCAAGCTCATTCATTGCATCATAATTATTACTCGTTGCCTAAGTTTCTTCAAAATAAGTTTTTGTGCTTCTGAACCAATCCTCTTCCTAAATGCCAAATCTTTGTCGCATCAATGAAATTGAGATTTCAATTTATCTCCAAAATCGCACTTCGTGGGCTATTTTTGTAGTTCAACCATAAAGTCTGTAACTTTCTGATCATTTTTGTCACATAATTTTATGAAACTTCGATTTCTTTGTATTCGAGCCTAGTGTAGCGTTGAATAAATCCTCATAATGAAAAGATTTGTAGTCTTAAACATTGGTGCAGACCGCATTAATTTTAATGGATATATCTACATGAAGGCACTCTATCACGCATCCACACTAGGTCACGAGTGGTCACGCCGTGTTACACATCTACAACCACTGGCCAGTTTAAATCAGTCACTTCGCTATATATTGATGACCTATCAAATATGTCTCCGAATCTTATCGCTTTTGACTTTTGATTTCACTCGGTTGACACGTTTCAATTATAGGAGCTGTTACTGGTTAAAGTGTTTTCGAGCTCCAAATAATTTTGACATCTTCAGTGGTGACCCCAACGTGATCTGGTGCACCACCTCGTAAACTGTGAGTCTGTTCCTTTTTGGAGCTTTATACATCAATTCTTCACTTTACTTTTTATATATTGTAATATATTTTGCGGATTTTTGGATATTTTGCCCCTTGTTCATTGCTGTGCTTCGTATTAGTCATGGCTGAACAGATTCCTAAGATTTTTATGCTCAAAACACTTACACCACCCTCATTTCAGCTAGGGTCATTGTGGCCCAACAACATTGAGGCCTGGTTCTGCTACGCAGAGGCTGACTTCTACGACCACGGCGTGATAGATTCACTTGCACAATTATTTGCAGTAGTGTAGGCAAGAAGCGCGAACTCAACTGGTACGTCACATCTGGTATGTTTGTTGAATTTCGGTCGACTTCGTCATTAGTACCGCTCTAGTAATAGGCTCAATACCTAAATTGTAGATTCGTCAGGATGTAACTGCCTAATCTATAAGATCTTACGTGGATGTCACATCATTATCTACCCTGACTCATCCGTATTGTAGCAATCACCAATATATTATGAAGAACACATTAGGGCTGGAGTTAGAACAATATATTGCATATAGACAAAAGATTGTTACGCGAGTAGGATCACGCGTTGAAAGCCGAGCCACACCATTCGACCAACTCGAACTAATCGAATTGATTCTTCCCGCCTTCTCTATCGCCGAGTTTTTCTCCGAATTAAATGTCGAATATCTATTTTCCCAGTTGTCTCGTGTTCAGCACTAAGGATTCTGTGGTTAAGGCCCTGTGTCACTACATGCTTAATAGTGATGCTTCGGAACCTCAAAAAACTATAAAACAGTCTATTATGGAATACGGAGATCTAACCGATCGACAAAGGTTTGATCAATTGCTCAATAACATCGGTCTACAGCATGGCTCAGCAACAGACGTATTGTTAAGAATGAGAGAGGCCATTCGTCAACGGACCTTCGATGATGTCCTGTTTAAACAACTTTTCTTGTCTAAGATTCCTCAACATGTGCATGCAGTGCCTGTCTGATTTCAAAACAACTCTGTAGATGAGCTGGCCGCATCTGCCGACCGAATTCCGGAGATCTTCAGAACTCCCACCTCTGTCTATTCAGTCAAGAAAAAACCTCAAACGACATGAAATGACGTTACAGAAACCTGTCATACTCTGGCACGTTCGACATGAACGTAGACGTTCCCAAATCCCTCAAAGGTGTTCTTTACGAAAAAGATCTGCCTCTAGATAACAAAAGACAGATAACTCCGATTGCTGCTGCTATAATAATCATTGCGGAAAATCTTCTCTAGGTTACAGAAAATCCTGCATTTTTTCAAAAACCAAACATTGTTTTGGAAACTCCCCAGTCGTCGAGCGTTAATGGCAACAATAGCCGTCGAACATAACCGTCTGTTACACATCACAGGTGTGATTACAAAAGTCCGCTACCTTGTCCACGTTACTGCAGAAGTTAACGTTCTTCCGGTGAATTCTAACGACTGATTGCATGAACCGGCTTTAAACTTACAGACGGCAAACGGAAAACCGATCACCACATATAGTTAGCGGTTCGTTTATCATAATGTGCGTTGCTGTATATATTTTCATGTCAATCATTGGTATAGACCTGCTACGACATCATAATTTAATCATCGACACGTGTAAACGGTTAGTATACGGAGATACTAATTTACCTGTTTGCGTAACTGGTTTTTTGGTTGGAGGTTATCCCCAGTCATGGTAAGACACACCATCGATCCATACTACCAACACATACTTGAGAATTACCCCGAGACATACCAAATACAACCGAAATCGCCATATGTAACCAGCAATGTTACACTTTACATCATGACTACTGGGACATCTCTATTCTCGAAAGCGCTCCGAATAGCTGTCGGAAAGCTATGGTTGGATAAAAACGAATTTGACCACATAATGGACTTATGGATCATTCGGCTATCAAGTAGTCCATGGGCACCTCCCTCGAAAATGTCCCATAGAAAGGAAAGCAATGATTGGCGTCTAACTGGTGAGTGTTGGCGAATAAATGTGAAACCATTCCTGTTTGTTATACGTTACCTCACATTCACGATTTGACGGTTACCTTGAAAGGTACGACTGTTTTTTTCGAAAACCGGGTTAAAACATATACCCAAATTAACATCGCTACTGACGGCATTCCCAAAATCTCTGTCACCAGTCTTTTCGGCCTGTACGTGGTTTCGCGCATGATTTTCGATTGAGGAAATACTGCTTGTCTCCAAGGCAACATTGCTGGCAAACCAGGACATATAGGCACGTCAGAGTATCGCAGTAAACGCATCCGACTACGCAATCAGAGGAGACTTACAACAATAGGCTTGTAGCGGTAAATAAATCCCCAAAATAAATAGCACTAAGTTTTCGACATTGGATGCTGACCATATGTTTTAGTGGACTCATCTAGCTGAAGGCGCTCGGTCAGGCATCCGCACCAGATCATGTGTGTTAACGCCGTGCTCAACATCAACCACAATCGCTAGCCAGATTAGATCAGAGAATCCCGATATATTGGTCATCGCCAAATATACTCTTCCGATCTCCTCGACTCTGTCTTTTGATTTCTCTTGGTGGGAACGAAACATATTAGAAGGTGTTACTGGTAGAAGCGTTGTCAAACACTGAATACCTGTGACATTCATCATTGGTGAGACCGTCGTGATCTGGTACACCTTATTGCAACTGTGAGTCTGTTCCTTTTTGGGATTTTTATATATCATTGCCTTATTTTTTATTTTTTTTAAACATTGTGATTTTTTTTCGTGTTTTTCTTGGATATATATATATAATATCCCCTCGTTAGCGAAAAAACGAATTCGATCACATGATGGATTTAGGAATCATACGACCGTCAAGTAGCCCATATGCATCTCCGTTGCACATGGTCCCTAAAAAGGACAGCAACGATTGGCGTCCAACTGGCGACTATCGGCGATTGAACGCGAAAACCATTCCCGATCGTTACCCGTTGCCTCACATTCACGATTTGACAGCTACCTTGAGAGGTACAGCTGTCTTTTCGAAAATCGACTTGGTTAAAGCGTATAACCAAATCCCTATGGCCACTGACGACATACCGAAAACAGCTATCATAACTCCCTTCGGACTCTATGAATTTTTGCGAATGCCCTTCGGTCTAAGGAATGCTGCTCAAACATTCCAAAGATTCATAGACGACGTTTTTCGAGGTCTCAACTTCGTACACGCGTATGTTGACGACTGTCTAATCGCAAGTCCGGACAGAGAAACAAATCTCAAGCATCTGGACCTTGTTTTCGAACGATTACAAAAACATGGCATAACTGTAAACTTTCAGAAATGCCAATTCGGAACCGACTCGTTAGACTTTCTGGACACACTATCGATGCTCAAGGTATCCGACCCCTTAGAACCAAAGTGGCGGCCATTCTGGATTACCCAGAACCGACCACCGTCAAGCAATTACGCACGTTCAACGGCCTGGTAAGTTTCTATAGACGTTTCATACCCAAATGCGCATTACTTATGAAACCTCTGACCGACCAACTTCGTGGAAATGCGAAATCCGTTAATTTGGATGACACCGCACGAAAAGCATTCTCCACAGTTAAGGAACTGATCGCTAAAGCAACAATGCTCGCACATCAGGACACCCGAGCACCCATTAGCATCGCAGTAGACGCATCCGACTCGGCAATCGGAGGAGTCTTACAACAATGGGTTAACAACTCCTGGCAACCCTTGGCATTTTTCTCTAGAAGATTGCTAGACACCGAATCGAGGTACAGCACATTCGGTAGGGAACTCCTAGCTATGTATTGTGCTGTACGGCATTTCCAACACTATATCGAAGGCCGTGAATTCACTCTTTTCACGGACCATAAACCGCTCACTTTCTCGTTAAGCTCTCCTTCTGACAAGTACTCTCCCCGTGAGTCTCGACAACTTGACTACATTTCGCAGTTTACTTCAGATATTCAACATATTTCTGGAGCAAACAATGTAGTTGCAGACGCCTTATCCCGCATAACTTCCTTGAACAGTTTCCAAGGAATCGACCTTCTTAAACTCGCCGAGCTTCAAAAAGAAGACAGTGATCTTCAGCACGAGTTATCGTCCACAACACTTAAACTACGCATCAAACAGATGGGAACAGGTAAGGAAACCTTACTGTGTGACACATCTACAGGTAGGGATCGCCCAATCGTGCCGAAACATTATCGACGCAATGTCTTCAACACATTGCACAAACTTTCTCATCCAGGTGTTCGTGCAACCATCAAGCTTATAACAGAACGATTTTGCTGGCCTGGAATGAATAAAGACGTGAGGGAGTGGGCACGCTCCTGTGTAAGCTGCCAAAAATCTAAGGTTATCAGACACAATAAATGTCCCTTAGGCGCCTAACAGCTGAAGCCTTACATATATGGGCTAATTTAAACAATATTAATAGGAGAGATGGAATACAACTAGCTGCACCATGGCAACTAATAATTAATAAGTAAACCTGATCTCCTTTTTTTTGCCATTTGATATATTTATGCCATAGTAACTAATTGATAGATAATACGTTCAATGATTCAAATCCGTTATCTTATCTGATATGTTAAACAATTGACTGGAACATTTTTTTTTAAAATAACACACTTCAATTACATATACATTCCTCGTTTATTTATTTTGTTTACTTATCTTCATTTAATGCAGGCTGTAGCATTTTGATTCATTTCATACATAAAAATGATTGTTTTCTTAATATACACAAACCGTAGTCACTTGCGTATAAACACATTCTGTTATCTTAACACGTTTTGGTTCCATAACACATACAAAACAATTTGTTATAACCTTGAATTTACCTTATAATCCTTAAGTCATCTATGGCCTAGGATAACATGACAATTTCTCTCCCCTTCATTATTTTCAAATGAACTTTTATTTATTTGTTTGACCTTTATTATTTTTCATATAAACATGTCTCTTACACATTAATACAAATACCTATCTATAAAGAAATCCTTCACGTCGATTGGATGACTTATTCAGTGTACAGTAAACCGTAGAACCATGTACCTATTTATATTCGATAATTTTGTTGTTTGATTTAATTCTTACAAAGAACGCCTAACAGCTGAAGCCTTACATATATGGGCTAATTAAACAATATTAATAGGAGAGATGGAATACAACTAGCTGCACCATGGCAACTAATAATTAATAAGTAAACCTGATCTCCTTTTTTTTTGCCATTTGATATATTTATGCCATAGTAACTAATTGATAGATAATACGTTCAATGATTCAATCCGTTATCTTATCTGAATATGTTAAACAATTGACTGGAACATTTTTTTTTTTAAAATAACACACTTCAATTACATATACATTCCTCGTTTATTTATTTTGTTTACTTATCTTCATTTAATGCAGGCTGTAGCATTTTGATTCATTTCATACATAAAAATGATTTGTTTTCTTAATATACACAAACCGTAGTCACTTGCGTATAAACACATTCTGTTATCTTAACACGTTTTGTTCCATAACACATACAAAACAATTTGTTATAACCTTGAATTTACCTTATAATCCTTAAGTCATTCTATGGCCTAGGATAACATGACAATTTCTCTCCCCTTCATTATTTTCAAATGAACTTTTATTTTATTTGTTTGACCTTTATTATTTTTCATATAAACATGTCTCTTACACATTAATACAAATACCTATCTATAAAGAAATCCTTCACGTCGATTGGATGACTTATTCAGTGTACAGTAAACCGTAGAACCATGTACCTATTTATATTCGATAATTTTGTTGTTTGATTATATTTTCCTTGAAAAAGCTTGGACCAGATTGCCAGGCGAAACGTTGGATTTACTTAAAATTCATTCGCTGAGATTTTACAAATATATTCTTCTTTTTAATGTCCCTTAGGCTCGTTTAAAACTCCCGATGCTCGTTTCGACCATGTTCATCTGGATTTGGTAGGACCTTTACCAGATTCAAATGGATACTTTTATCTCTTAACCTGCGTAGACCGTTTCACTCGATGGCCAGAAGCAGTACCTATCAAGGACAGCACTGCTGAAACAGTGGCCCGCACATTCGTCGAACGATGGGTAGCAAACTTCGGCTGCCCTTCAACCATCACTACAGACCGCGGACGTCAGTTCGAATCCGATCTTTTCCGTCGTCTGACCACACTTTTAGGAATCACTCGCTTCCGAACGACCGCCTACCATCCACAAGCAAACGGGTTGGTAGAACGTTTTCACCGACAACTGAAAGCTTCGCTATCAGCTGCAAACGTTTCACAATGGACCGACGCTCTTCCACTCGTCTTACTAGGTATCCGCAATGCAGTGAAAGCTGACATTGGATATACTGCGGCTCAACTCGTTTATGGAACGACACTTCGACTTCCAGGAGAATTCGTGGATTCTTCGTGCTCTTCGATGAACATGGATCTAACCTCCTACACGAACAGGCTTACAAACGCAATGCGTTCAGTTAAACCTGCTTCCACTCGACCTCAATCAACTGATGTTTTCGTTCAACCTGACTTACGATATAGTACACACGTTTTCGTTCGTCGAGACTCGCATCGACGACCATTCGAATCAGCATACGAAGGACCCTTCAAAGTTCTTCAACGTCAATCTAAGTACTATATAGTCGATAAGAACGGAACCAACGATAGCATCAGCATCGATCGCTTAAAAGCAGCGTATTTAGAAGGAAATCCTATCTACGTAGATTTTCCTTCGGTACAATCGAACGACATGACTCCGACACTTATAATACCTCATCCGACAACCAACACACGCGATGATACTTCGACAGTATCCGAAAATAAACTTAAAACGACGCGTTCTGGAAGAAGGGTGAGATTTCCAGAACATTTAAACGACTATTGCACGTAAGGCACTTTGCGACATTTATTATTATTTTTAAAAAAAAAAACAATTTCAATATGCTCATATATTTTTATTTCTATTAAAAAAACAAACAGACAAAAACAATTTTTTTAACGTTATTACGTGCTCATGAGTTTATTTTTCATTTTTTTCCGCTGACATTGTGTTTTTACGCAAATACGAGTGTATTTTCGACATCCACTTACATTTTCTTTTTTCTTTTCCAGGACGGCTGGAAAAGAACGATGACGTTTATGAGGATCCGAAATTTTCATTGTACATTTTCTTTTTTACTATGTTGTACCTCCGTCCCATATACTAAGGAAAGACGACCAGACGCTGCTAAATTTAGTAAGCTATCAGAAGAGTGTTTACCAACGACAAACTCGTTGGGTTTAAACTTCTGGCTGGCTACATCTTAGGGTCGTCACTGCCCCACTAGGGGGGGAGTGATCTGTAGCGGTAAATAAATCCCCAAAATAAATAGCACTAAGTTTTCGACATTGGATGCTGACCATATGTTTTAGTGGACTCATCTAGCTGAAGGCGCTCGGTCAGGCATCCGCACCAGATCACGTGTGTTAACGCCGTGCTCAACATCAACCACAATCGCTAGCCAGATTAGATCAGAGAATCCCGATATATTGGTCATCGCCAAATATACTCTTCCGATCTTCTCGACTCTGTCTTTTGATTTCTCTTGGTGGGAACGAAACATATTAGAAGGTGTTACTGGTAGAAGCGTTGTCAAACACTGAGTACCTGTGACATCATCAGGCTAAAGACACCGGACAAACTTTGGTATTGTTCTCGAAACCTTTGCTAGACACCGAATCGAGGTAAAGAACATTCCGTAGAGAAGACTTAGTTATGTGCTGAACATGAGATAAAATACCATGAAAGGCAGAGACTTCACCGTTTATACCACCTATAAACCTCCCAATTAATCCTTAACCTCACCTTTAGACAAGCGCCCTATTAGAGAGTATCGACAACAAAGAAGTAAACAATGACAAATTTAAGGTCAGTAAGAGCCAATCAACATCGAGGTGTACAGAACAAGCTGGGAAACGCATATGGAAAAATTCGAACACTTCACTTCTATCAGAGGTTTGTGCTGATGAGGTCGTTCAGGAGGACGATGAGAGCTCCACGACCAAAACATCCAGCCCAGAGAATAAAACTCCATCACTATTATTGTTGTAGAAATGTTAAAACAGGTAATATGTTTGGTTTAAATTACTAATTCAAATGACGTTTATGCCGGTAAGCTGTCCATATGAGGTGATTTCCTAGTAATCTGCACCGTTAGGCCAACTGAAACAGCAAATGTATAATCGTGGAAAAGAATTCCAGTTAGTGTTTCAATTAGTTTGATATGGTTTATTTAGTTATGTGGAGATTTTATCGACCTCATTTTTACTTTACCGTGATAGACTTCAGTAATACTACTAATACATATGAATGGTTATCAAAAAATTTTCAATACGTGAAAAGTGATACTTATATGAATTTTGGACAGATAACTAAGAGCAATTCGTTAAACATGAGTGTATTCGTAAGAGACATGCTCTAGACTCAATGTTCTGATTTGCAATAGACTATTTATTTATATTTATACCTACCGGCTGATGGTGCACACAAGTTAGTTGCAAGTATGTAGTTTAGCATAAGGCGGAATACAATTGAACTGATATAGTGATTATACTGGTTGGAATCAACCAAGCTTATGTGCCACAATTATAGGTGATGTGGTCCTGCAAGATGTCTTCGGCTAAATGAGTCTTCACAAAGATGATTAACAGTGAGTGATGCTCATATGATTATCAGGGAGAACATAAGTTTTAACTAAGGAGATTACACGCCCAACTCATGTCTATGATAATGGCTTGAACCTTAGTCAGTTTTGTGGAAAATTCGGCAGTAATGTTTTCAGAATGCAGGAAATTTGCTCGACTGTTTATACTGATGATTTGCATGCATGATTGTGTCGCTAAACCTTCAATTAGGATAAAGAAGTTTTGAGATATTTACTGAATGAGCAACTGATAGAGAAACATACTGTAATCACCCATGATGGATGAAGGTAACGAGAAAAAAACACTATTTAAAGATAATTATAAGTCAATTTGTTGACTGATTTTGTCAATAGTTTCATCAATATTTTTAATCATGTTGCGTGATTGTCAAGTCATGACATTGCTTTATGACGATATCCTGAAACCATTTTGTTTAACTAGTTTTAAAGTGGTAACATTTTTTTCACGTGGTTTAGGAATTCTTCGACTTGCTCTTTTGTAGGGTGTATTATACTGTGATTATCATCCTATCCTGTACATCGGGTACATCTTACCCCGAGAAATAAGGAACAAACTTATTTTTATTCGACGTACAATTACCAGTTGGCATTGTACCTATTGCGGACTTAAGTCGTAAGTAGATCTGCAATTTATTACAAACTCGCAGTCTCTAATCCTAGTATTAACCAGGTTAGTACTTAATAACAACTAATACTCAGATATTATATTTAATTTAACGAGCACTATGCTCACTTATTTTCATATCATGTCCAATAACTCCAGTAAAAGAGGAATTTCATCAACTTCTAAGCCGAATAAAAGGTCCAAATCTGTAACCCCTACAACTGACAACTCAGTGCTTGACAATGTCGAACATTTAACTACTGAAAAATATGTGTATTGTACACAAATGTCTATATCGTCACCAGATTCTCCATGTCGCAGCCCCTCTATCTCTACGTGCAGTATGCCAACGGTAAAACTGGTTGACATACAAGACACTATACCTACGTGCATCGAAAAATCAGCACAGTCTACTAGACAGTATGTTCTACCAAGGCCTAAATCTAAAATTACAAAAACTAAAGAGTCCAGTGGTCCATCTCATACACACCGAAATACTGATAGATATAGTAATGACATTCAACAGATACAAAACTCTTTATCCGAAATTAACGGCAAACTTGAGCAGTTAGCACCCCTCACTCATATTTGGGGCCTTGATACAGACAGAAATCTTGAGCAACTCACTAAAGCTGAGTGTATTTTGGAGTTTGTGGCTGAAGAAGTGACGAAGAGAGTGATGCCCTCCTACAATGCAGTTGTGTATAACCTCCCCGACCGCACACACCCATCTAAGTTAAGGGATATTTGCCTTAGAGCATGCGGTATGCCGAACGTTAACTGCAAAAACATCCGCCTTAGAAAAAAGTCAGACAGATCGACTTGCCCCCTTTTGTTTATGTTGGCTGTTGTAACGATGCTAAGCAGTTTATTGATTTGAGCAAAAATATTAGCTCACTAATTCCATACAAGAATATAAAAGTCACTCCAGACCTTACGCCCTGTCAACGTCGTGTAAGAAGACGCGAAGCGATAGAATTGAATGGGAGTGTTACAGTCAATAATCAGCCAGAGACAGTTTGCAACACAGCAAATAGTTTAAAACACACGAACAATAAGCATGACACCACTCCACATACGGCTGATCACTCTGTTGATCTAGATGAGTCTACAGATCAGAAACCTTTGGATAAGATACTCGATTCCACAACTTAAATGACTTTCCCTCTTTAGTAACGATGACAGAAATACTTGTCCGAACAGAGGCAATAAGTAAACAAAAAGCAGTAGCACAGGAAAAACGTGCAGTTGAACTTAAAATAACTCCTCTGCACTCACCATACTACTCCAAAATAAACTTAAACGCTCTAAATCGAGAGGGAGTATATTCATTAAAGGCAAACAAGTATACGAAGATCCCAAACTTATCACAGAATTATTTAGTGAACATTTTTGTTTCTCACTAACTAACGAAAAACCATTTAATGATTCAGAACCAATCCCAGTAACTCCCTGTGAAATTACTAATGTAGAATTCAGTGTACAAAATATCTCCAAGGCAATCAGTACATTGAAACACTCCTACACTGATGGACCAGATGGTATCCATCTAGCATGCTAAAACGTGGAGGTGATGATATGTGTGTTTTGCTTCTCAAACTATTCGCGATATCACTCTCTTCAGCGTGTTACCCTACTGCCTGGAAAACTACACATATCATTCCCAAAATTAAAACAGGACCTGAAGCAAACGTTGAAAATTACCGGCCTATAAACATAACTTCAGTGGTATCCAGAGTGATGGAAAAAGTAGTTAAGGCGGCTGTAGTCCAACATCTACTAACTAATAATCTCATCTCGACCTCCCAGCATGGATTTCTTAGGTCCAGATCATGCGATACATGCCTAGTAGACTACCTGAATGATATAACTCTGAAACGAGACAGCGGACTCCTTGTATCAGTCCTATTCCTAGACTTTAAGAAAGCCTTTGATAAGGTCCCACACAAAAGGCTACTCGTCAAACTAAAGTCCTTCGGAATACACAACCCACTGTACTCATGGTTTGCTTCGTTCTTAACAGAACGTAAACAGATGGTAAAGTACAATGACTGTCTCTCGTCCCCTAGACCAATCACCAGTGGAGTCATCCAGGGAAGCGTATTAGGTCCACTTTTGTTTCTTATGTATATAAACGATATATGTAACACCATAGAATTTGGGAAACCATACTTATATGCTGATGATCTCAAAATAGTATACAGCTATAAGCCTGAGACACTAAGCGAAAGTGTATCCCAGATCCAAAAGGACCTCAATAACTTAACTATATGGAGTGAAAAATGGCAATTACCATTTAACCTCAACAAGTGCGGGATCATGCACTTTGGAAAGCATCCCTATAAACCGCGACTTCACTTAAATGAATGTAGAGTCCAAACACTCGAATCAGTACACGATTTAGGAATTAATTACACAGGAAGCCTAAACTTTGAAGAACATGCCTCCTCTATTATTTCTAAATCTAGACGGCTAATTGGTTTTATAATGAAAAACTTTTTCACAACAGAGGGTAAACTTACTCTCTACAAAATATGTGTACGACCCTCCCTTGAATACTGCTCTTTTGTCTTCTCTAATATGAATATCGCAGACAAGATAAGAGTAGATGTTCAAAGACGTTTCACACGTCAACTACTAGGATGTAACTCGAATCTCGATTACACAGACAGATGTAAGCATCTATCTTTAGAACCTTTATGGCACCGTAGGCTAAAAAACAATTTAATATTTCTCTACAAAGCGATATATGGGCTCTCCTTTCTAACCTCCTGCCCGACTATCACCCACGACCCAGCCTATAGACTTAGAAACAACGCATATACACTACTTACCGTAAAACACCAAAAACAAATGCGTTGTAAGTTTTTTACAGTACGGTACAGTTTATTGTGGAACAGGCTGCCAATGCCTATCCGTAACTGTGATACGTTTACCAGATTCAAAAAGCTAATAACCCTATTTCTAGACTCCAAAGAGCTTCAACATTTCCTTGAACTCCCGCCCACCAATGAGGCACTTTATTACGGACCGCCTAGTATCTAGAAAGAACAAAATTATAACAAGTTCGACTGTTACTAATATGAATATAACCAAATCACAGAATATATGGCTTATCCTTTCCTATTATTCATTGTTTATTAATCATGACTTCATGCTCCTAACCCTAGCTTTCAGTCCCCAAATCTCTACAGGTTAAATGTACATTATTCTTCCTAAAAGTCATGCTTTTTTTTCTACTGCAAGTAGACAGATAG